CTGTGGTGTTTTTACTATGTGGCCTTCCTCTGGCCAACTACTTTTGGGAGCTTTCTCTGGCCAATAACTTTTGGGGTGCTGCAACTGGCAACATGGTCAGTGATCTGAATGATGGGAGTTGTAGTCCAAAACAACTGGGGTGTGCTAGGTTGGTGCGGCTGCATGAACGCAATTGTGGAAAACTGAAAATTCATCTGCATGGTGTTTGGCTCCCTCTTGTGCCTTCTGTTTGCAGTGCTACTGGCAGCATCCCAGTCATCCTTCCTTAGGATGCTTTGCCAGGTGGCCATATCCTTCCATTTTATCTATTTAAATTACGTTTAGGCCACTTTTATGAATGGAGCCCAGTATAACACAGTGTTGTATACAATACATATTGGATCTACAACAAGCAGCAGATAAAGCACCATTTCAGGTCAGTGAAAGAGATCTGAGGCTTGCTACACTGGTTCATTCTGTTGGGGACTGTCAAACATCTGTTCTACCAAATTTTTATTTGCCTACAACTGGAAACAAATGTAATTCTTGCCCATTGATTTTGCCCACTCGTTATTATCATGTAATATTTCCATTGCCTAAATCCCAGATCTCAAATCAACCACCATTTTTTCTGAAGAGGCTCCTGAAGCTCAAAAGAGGAAAGGGGATCCAGATAGTCATATTCGATTCCACCCTTCCTGCCCTGTTTCTTTTGTCTCCGGATAAGCAATAGGGATGAGGAAGGAAAATAACAGCCAACATCCTGATAAGGATCAGATTTTGTACAGGGAGCCAACACTTGCTGACCCCGAACTAAAGTATACTCCATGTTGGGAGTGAAAGAGGCAGTCATGCTTGGCATGTTTTTCAGGGCCTGGGTGGCACCAACTCCTTGGACGAAGATGGTGAGGCTGGGAAAGGAGGTCTGCGGACACAGAGATGGCGGAGGAGGGAGAGCTCATCTCGAGGCTGCTGCCTCCAGGTGTTCAGGCAGACCCTGGGGACTGACAGGGTCGGGGAGCACAGGAGAGGGCTTGGCTGAGAACCAGAAGGGGCCTGGCCCAGTTCCGGACCCCCGACACGGCATCGAGAGAGAAGGGCCCAGCGATTAGAGGGCGGGGGTAGATCTGGGAGGCTTGCCCTTCTCCAGAGGGGCACAGCCAGCGGGGTGGAGCCGGGGGCACTGAAAAGGAGGCCTCTCAGAAAGTTTCTGGTTTGGGCTCACCAAACTGCTCTGTGCACACTCAGAGGCTCTTTCTCTGTTGGCTATTAGCTTGCTGGCTGTACATTGCAAATAATGTGCTTTTTTTGCCAAACAACTGTTGATTGAAAAAAAGGAGAAGACCCAGCTCCTGACACTAGCTAAGTTCAAAGACAAAGGAACTACACAAGAGATTTCAGGAAGTGAGGCTGGTTCCCCTAATTACCAGTAGATTTGAGGACAGGTACCCCAACTCACTGCCTTAAATGTTTGTCCTTTCTATCCTGTCACAGCTTATTCCTGACCTTTATACATTTGTATTGCACACCCTCAATTCATATATTAATTCCTTCCCTCCAACTCCCTCCTTCAAGCAAACTGAAAGGTAGGAAAAATAGGACACCCAAGAAGAAAAGGTCCATGGTACCAGTGACACATACCTGATTTATTTTTTTCTGCTTCTGTGTACAAAAAACTAGAATGAGAATAAACAGCTAATTTGGAACAACTTAAACACAGTTATTTCATTATACATAAATATTAAAAAATATTACCTATAGCTGTTCACAGTTCTATTACAAAATAATCTTGTTTCTAACAGGATCACGGACAGTACCAACACTAGAAAGTTTATAACCAAACTTTGTCCATAGACGTGGACGGGGGGTGTGGGGAGAGGAAAAGACTGAAGCAATGCTTCCTCATAAGTCATTTAGGTTTGTAATCAGTGCTGAAGTCCAGAGGGAAAGACACAAATATCACCTCTACTGTCAAATCAGATACACTGAGCTGTGCCACTTTTTTCTCTTCTGTTGATTGACTGCTGTCCATTTACTGTCACTATCAAGATGTTGGAGCTCACGCTTTATTTTCAGGGTAGAATAATGTTCACCTTAGTACTTCCATCAAAAACATCAACCTCATGTCAATTCCTCCCAGTCTCTCTTTAACAACTCTCTAACCACACTTACTCCTGTTATTTTGCTTCTTCTGTCATCCAGTGATGTGGACTGAGGATGGGCAAAAAGATAATGTATGTTATAGGCAAACAAAGAAACCCAAGGGTGCTATTTTGTGGGACTGCAGGTTGTCCCATGTCAAGGTCTGTCCTTGAATTGAAAATTACTGCCTACTATCTCCAAGGTTGTTTTGGGAAACACCTAACCAATTCATTCACTTGTTGGGAAAACATATAAATGTCTGAAGAAGATCCTATGACATCTATGTGAGTTTGGTATGGGATTACCAGAACTCTTGGGTAGGAAGGACGGACTATCTCACATGCTCGCTCAAGATTTTGTATCCCAGTTTGGGTGAAGCCTTCCTGAACCAACCTTTCTTTGCGCAAAAAGCCATGCAGATTTGCAGACCAAGTCTCAATGAAATGTTTGGCATCTTCTAACTTCTTGGAACCTGGCTTGTTGTCCTCTCTGAAACAGATGGTGGTAAGCTCACCATCTACATTTTCCAAAACCATGACACCACACCTTTCTAGATGTGTTTTATATAATGGGTCTACAAATGTTTTGAAGTAGTAATATACATCAGTATCCAAGGTCACTTGTACAGCCTCCTTGCTTGTACTTTGAGCAAGATTATCTCTTGGTGCCAAGGGCAACTCACTGCTCATTGGCCTCTCCGTCGAACTGTGAGCTGTTGACCCTTCTCCTCCCTTAACTTGCTGTTCTGGAAGGGTAGGTTTCATTTTTAATAAAAGCCTATCTTTGAGAAGAGAGATGGCTGAAAATGGACCCTGCACACGTATTTTCCCACTGGGGTGCAATGGCCCAAAGCTCAAACACGGGAGGTTCTTCTTAAGGTCTTGCACCAGATCTTCCAAGTTGTGTTGCTCACCAAAAATGGACAAACTGAGGATGCATGTCACACAGGTAAAAATCTAAAGATACAAAACAAATATGAGTTCATAACTGAAATACAGTTCTGCACTTTCATGTTTCAGGCATATTCACGCCTTCTGACACTTGTCAATCTCATCTCACCACTCCCTCAGTGGATGACGTACTGTGAGTGTGAGTTCTGTTGCAGAGAGAGTTCAACCAATTTGGCCCTCTTTCAACCAAAGGGCCAAATTCAGCCTCAGGGAAGCTTTTGGGGTAACCTTCAGTGCTGGGCAAGGCCAAAGGCACAGCCAAAATACTGAAAGTACCAGCATATTTTAGTCTAAAACTCTGGTATCCAGGAACTAAGCCTTAAGAGAGTCATTCCAGCTTGTTTTTGTTGTTGTTATGTGCTATCAGGTTGTTGCCAACTTACAGCAATCCTTCAACCTTTCATAATAGGACAACTGCAAAACAGCCAGGAGACTACCGAACAATCGGCAAACGGCAAAAAAGTATGGCCAACTGGGGAGTCCCAGAGAGCTCGGATGAAACACCAGGTGGACTTGAGGGCCTGAGTTTTAACAGCCCTGCTCTGTGAGAAGACTAATTCTGACATCACTGCCTCAATTCTCAGCATGACTAACTACAGAGCCAATACCAAAGCCTTGCTCAGGCAGGCAGCCTGTTCACATTAAGGCGTGCAACACAAGCCTTGGCCCAGACGGCTCTGCCTGCTCAGGTCACTCGTTGAACACATTTTAAAACAAGCAGAAGACCGCAGCCACTGGTGCCCAGTACCCGTACCCACAGCCCATTTCTAAACTTCACATGAGCAGGCTGAAGGCCTGTGTACGGCTTGCCTGCTGGAACAATGCTAGATCTCCTTCTGCTCTGCATATATTCCTGCTATTCCAAAGCCAGGGGAAGCTGCCTATAGAGAGGATTTTCCTTCAAGCTATTAATGGAACTTGACAAAATCAAAATAAAGGATGTCATGTTCGAATTCTCCCCCTCCACACACTGCCACTACCTTGACGCTCTGCTACTGAAACAAAGGAAGGTACCTCCTTTTCCTCAGACATCAGTTATGTCCAAAATTAGAAATGGGTTCTAAAAGGAAATTGAGCTTTAAAAAGACTTTGCAGAAAACAGGCGGTGTCCAGTGTTAGCTCTGCTTAGCTAACCATTAAAGCATGGGGCTAGTTAGTCATGGCTAATTTAAACTCAATTTACTTCAGCAAGTTCACTCCAAGTAGAACGAATGCCAGATGCTGCCCAGTGGCGGCTAATCTTGACAGGTGGCATGCCTGTCTACCCCGGTCACTGAGGAATGCGAGCAGGAAAGTGCTTTTTCCATCCATCCTCCTTGCAGGGCTTTCACCAGCAGCTGGCTGGGCACTGCGTGAACCAAGTGCTGGAGCAGATAGGTCTGAACTAGCATGGCTCTTCTTACTTTATTAATTCTGAGAAAAAACTTAGCAGAATGCTTTCCCCTTATACCAAAGCACATCAGGCTGCCTTAACTGGTCAGAAAGCAGTTCTCTCTCCATATAAGAACTGGTTCATACATGCATTCACCTGACTGTCACACCTGACAACTCACAGCTGAATGTGTGAAGCTGCTCTACCGGGGGAAAAAAGATTGCATTTGGGCTGCTAGTTACCCAAAATGTCTATGTGCAGCATCCCATTTGTAGTTGTGTACTCACACATGTGAATCGCCAAGTTTATTGCAACCAAGCAGAGATATTCGTGCTTGCATGATCCAGCTGCAGGCAAATCCTGGGACATTTACGGCTGCTGCTGTAGGGCAGTGCAACTCAGTTTCTGGGATAACCCGTGGTAATTTTGACCAACGGTTACTGGACTTTGGTCTCTCTTATTCCACACTGTGCACTCCTTATTCAGGTCATATGAGCTGTTCTCTTCTGTATGAGCTGTTTCAGCTATGGAAAGTTTTGCCTCAAATGGACTAGATGATTTTCAGCCTCCCATTCCTGTCTACTTATTTTATATGACAGGCTAAAACTAAGAGAAACAGAGGCTAACAAGTTGACCTTGACTGGAACACTACAAAGAACAAGCGTACTGACCTGCAGACAAAAAAGCAACTTAGTTGAACATGTCGCTTAATGTCTAGAGGTTCACATGGAGGCCAATGTAGAATAATTCTCAAAGAAAGCAAGAAGTAGTGACTACTTACACTTTCACCATACAAGGACACTTTCAAGGGATAATCCCTGCGAAACCTCTTGTCCTCTAGCTTGTGATCACTTTTTGTGAGAACTTTCTCTGCAACTGAAAAGATTCAGATTATCTTTGTCTTTTTGTGGGGGTGGGGGAGGAGAGGGGGAGAGAAAGAGAGAGAATGTTTTCCGCATAAGCTAATGACTAGAAAACCCACCCATGGGAGCTATTCTCCCTCCCACACCTTCTTGATGGTTTTCCTTTGGGATTCCTCCCACTGTTCAATTTAGTCTCCTGATATTTTATGCATTGCACAAAATCATTCAGAGGAGCGAGACAGCCGCCTGTGTCTTTACAGGATTATCTGGCAGCACTGTTACTCCCCCAAGGCTTGGCTACAAAATGTTCATCTGCCGGGCAGCTTATATGCTTTATTCTTGTGCAAGTATTTTAAACACCCACACAAAAACTCTCTTTGAAGCCTGTTTACATTAACAGATCAGATGAATGGCAAAAAAGTACAAACAGCAACTTCAAACTAGAGCATACTGCATGCATCAAGGAAACTAGAATGCAAGAGTTTATGTATTCTGCCTTATGGTTAACAATCTAAGATCCGATTTCCTTCCTTTGCTATTACCTTGTTTATCTTCAAATGTTACATAGGCCACACCTTTCGTTGATGTAGGATAATCCACGTCTTCCACATCTCCACCATTATTCTTTGTCTTCTGAAAATGAATTTTTAGTATGTCAACCATTGTGCCATGGTCAAGGCTACCTGGAACTCCACAGACCACGACTGTTCTTTCCGGCCTGGTCTTTCCGGCCTGGTCTTTCGTGGCAGCTTGTGCTGTAGCCTGTAGAGGAACACAAGGGATGTTCAAAGTGAGAGTTAAGCCAGCTGGCCATGGCCTCTCTCTCCTTCCTATTCTCAACAGGTATCTGGATATCCAGCCTGCACCACCATATGTACACTTTCTGCAATCACTTTGGACTTTTTCTGAAAAAGAAGTGGATCCTTGTGTCACCACTGAAATGAAGGAGAATTGCACTGAGCAGTTGATCCAACGTTATTTTGACAGACATGAACAGAACAGAACCTCTCATCTGAAAATGTATGGAAAGGAATGCAAACTATTTTCCAGAAGGCTAAGATATAAAATATAAAGCTCCAACAGCCAGCAAGTTCCTGATGACCTACTATATTACACAGAGAAAAACAGATCTATATATCAATAGATATTGTACTAAAAGAATCTCAAAAACTAGAAAGGATATCATGATTTCTTTCATTTTAATTTAAATTGTATTTATTTAGAGCTTTTCAACATAAGGCTAGTAATTAGATGTACCTACTTTGTTTCATCACAGAACTGAGACCTGACCATTGCACAAGCAGTGTTTTGTGCTTTTTTGCTACATAACCTCTAGGTGGCACTGTGATCTAGCACAATAGCACAAATAGACGAGATTATAATGGTTTCTTTTGCATTCATATGCAAATACTGTATTATTTCTGGCCCTAAGAAAACTCACAGAAAGTGCTAGTTAGAAACATAGCTAAACATGAAGATCACTATATTGTCTTAAAAAAAAACCCATTAAAAACATGTGGAGGAGTGCATGATACAAGCCTTGCACAGCAATGTCCTTAAGAATACTTCCATCCTCTCCTTCCTTCTTGGAGCACCAGACAGTATACAGGAACCTCACCATGTTATGTTCACATCAACCATGTGAGGTAGGTTACGCATGTGGTAACTGGCCCATAATCACCCAAAGGACTTCATGTTTGTTTGTGGGCTTCACCAGTCCTAGTACAACACTGATTGTTGCAGTACAATAGCTGTGATAAAATTTATCCACATATTCATACTAAATAAATATTTGGTTCCCGTGTTCTAAGGTGATTTTGTGCTGCTTGCAAAATTGTGATGCTAATCCTCTTTTCTTCTCCTTTCCTTTCCTTCTCTTTTCTTTTCTAGCAGTTTATCAGTCTTTAAGTGGGGAAGGCAAAGAATTGCTAAGGAAACTGTTTATAGTCCTTAGGTTTGTATTAACTGAAATATAAATTCAATCAAGCAGCTGCTCCTGTTGCTGACACAGTACAGCTTTTAAAAATTAAATAAAAAAGGATAATCAGCCAAGTATGAAACAGCTACTTTCAAAAATGTCAAAAATTTCAGACACTTGCTATCAATTTCTGCTTTCCAAGTTATAGGTCTCACAATGTTCTGAACCACAAAGTTGTGCTGTAGTTGTGCAGAGCACATACTTCTCTGAACTGCCTTTCTGGCAGATTCCTATTTGAGTGTGGGGGGATTATTTGTCTCATCAGCTGCAGTGCAGTAACTCAGTTCATGGTATTTTTCTACAGCCTTGAACACAATGGCCTCTCACGCTCCAAGTGCAACATACACCAGCAAATCCTGGACTACTTATTTTGAACACTTGTTGCGCAAATGCGCAAGTGAGCCTCCACTCAAAGGGAGGATGGCAGCTCCATAGCCCAGGCATTGTTACTGAAAGGCCGTGACCCACACCACTACCAGCTGCACTTCTGACAACGGCAGCACACAAAGCCAGCCTGGGCATGTGCAGAGACTGCAATCGCCACCCCACGCACACTCCCCATCAGAGTGGCTCACGCCACCAGCTTGCATGGAAATGATTTTGACAAGCACGTTTTTCTAACCCAGTGCCCTCCAGGTGTGTTGGACTACAACTCCCATAATCCCTAGATCATGGGAGTTGTAATCCACCACATCTGGAGGGGATCAGGTTGGAAATGGCTGGTATAAAGAGTTATGTATGTAATTTGGCTTGTCACTGCAGAGGTGCTGATGAGAAGAAACTTTCAAGAACTACTCACTATGTATGTATGGGTGTGGAAGCTGGACAGTAAAGAAAGCAGGCAGGACAAACATAATTAGCCCTCTGCATTTTTGATATTTCAGCCATGACCCTGATCCTTTTATAGTCTCCAGTCATTTAGTAAGCCAAGAATCATCTGGCAATATAGGGGCTCTGCGCACAGGAAATGGAAGTAGTTAGTTTAGCACATAGCTGAAGACTACAGATCACCACCACAGAACTGAGACCTGATCATTGCACAAGCAGTGTTTTGTGCTTTTTTGCTACATAACCTCTAGGTGGCACTGTGATCTAGCACAATAGCACAAATAGATAAGCGATTATAATGGTTTCTTTTGCATTCATATGCAAATACTGTATTATTTCTGGCCCTAAGAAAACTCACAGAAAGTGCTAGTTAGAAACATAGCTAAACATGAAGATCACTATATTGTCTTAAAAAAAACCCCATTAAATACATGTGGAGGAGTGCATGATACAAGCCTTGCACAGCAATGTCCTTAAGAATACTTCCATCCTCTCCTTCCTTCTTGGAGCACCAGACAGTATACAGGAACCTCACCATGTTATGTTCACATCAACCATGTGAGGTAGGTTACGCATGTGGTAACTGGCCCATAATCATCCAAAGGACTTCATGTTTGTTTGTGGGCTTCACCAGTCCTAGTACAACACTGATTGTTGCAGTACAATAGCTGTGATAAAATTTATCCACTTATTCATACTAAATAAATATTTGGTTCCCATGTTCTAAGGTGATTTTGTGCTGCTTGCAAAATTGTGATGCTAATCCTCTTTTCTTCTCCTTTCCTTTCCTTCTCTTTTCTTTTCTAGCAGTTTATCAGTCTTTAAGTGGGGAAGGCAAAGAATTGCTAAGGAAACTGTTAATAGTCCTTAGGTTTGTATTAACTGAAATATAAATTCAATCAAGCAGCTGCTCCTGTTGCTGACACAGTACAGCTTTTAAAAATTAAATAAAAAAGGATATAACCATAGCCTTGACTATACGCACTTTTGTTGGCAGGGTGATGTCTCTGCTTTTTAGCATGTTGTCTAGATTTGCCATAGCTTTCCTCTCCAGGACCAAGTGTCTTTCAATTTCTTGGCTGCAGTCCCCATCTGCGGTGATCTTGGAGCCCAGGAAAATAAAATCTGTCACTACCTCCATTTCTTCCCCATCTATTTGCCAGGAAGTGAGAGGACCGGATGCCATGATTTAGTTTTCTTAATGTTGAGTTTCAAGTCAACTTTTGCACTCTCCTTCTTCACCCGCATCAAGAGGCTCTTTAGTTTCTCTTCACTTTCTGCCATGAGAGTGGTATCATCTTCATATCTGAGGTTGTTGATATTTCTCCCAGCAATCTTAATTCCAGCTGGTGATTCATCTAGGCCCGCCTTTCTCATGATGTGCTCTGCATATAAGTTAAACAGGCAGGGCAACAGTATACAGCCTTGCCAAACTCCTTTCTCAATTTCGAACCAATCAGTGGTTCCATGCCCAGTTCTCACTGTTGCTGCTTGACCCATATATAGGTTTCTCAAGAGACAAATAAGATGGTCAGGTACTCCCATCTCTTTAAGAACTTGCCACAATTTGTTGTGATCCACACAATCAAAGGCTTTGGCATAGTCAATGAAGCAGAAGTAGATGTTTTTCTAGAACTCCCTAGCTTTCTCCATGATCCAGCGTATATTGGCAATTTGATCTCTAGTTCCTCTCCCTCTTCAAAATCCTGTCTGTACTTCTGGTAGTTCTCGGTCCACATACTGCTGGAGCCTAGCTTGTAGGATTTTGAGCATAACTTTGCTAGCGTGTGAAATGAGTGCAATGGTGCGGTAGTTTGAACATTCTTTGGCATTGCCCTTCTTTGGGATTGGAATGTAAACTGACCTTTTCCAATCCTGTGGCCACTGCTAAGTTTTCCAAATTTGCTGGCATATTGAGTGTAGCACTTTTACTGCATCGTCTTTTAAGATTTTGAATAGCTCAGCTGGAATACTGTCACCTCCACTAGCTTTGTTGTTGCTCAGACTTCCTAAGGCCCATTTGACTTCACATTCCAGGATATCTGGCTCAAGGTCAGTGACCACCCCATCGTGGTTATCAGTGATGTTAAGCTCTTTCTTGTATAGTTCCTCTGTGTAATCTTGCCATCTCTTCTTCATCTCTTCTGCCTTTGTTAGGTACCTGCCATTTTGATCCTTTATCATGCCCATCTTTGCATGAAACGTTCCCTTCATATCTCCAATTTTCTTGAAGAGATCTCTGGTCCTCCCTATTCTATTGTTTTCTTCTATTTCTTTGCACTGAAGGCATTCTTATCTCTTCTAGATATTCTCTGGAATTCTGCATTCAATTGGGTGTATCTTTCCTTTTCTCCCTTGCCTTTCGCTTCCCTTCTTTCCTCAGCTATTTGTAAAGCTTCCTCAGACAGCCATTTTGCTTTCTTGCATTTCTTTTTCTTTGGGATGGTTTTAGTTGCTACCTCTTGTACAATGTTGCGAACCTCCATCCATAGTTCTTCAGGCACTCTGCCTATCAGATCTAATTCCTTAAATCTATTTGTCACCTCTACTGTATATTCATCAGGGATATGATTTAGGTCATACCTGAGTGGCCTAGTGCTTTTCCCTACTTTCTTCAATTTAAGCCTAAATTTTGCAACCAGAAGCTCATGATCTGAGCCACAGTCAGCTCCTGCTCTAGTTTTTACTGACTGTATAGAGCTTCTCCATCTTTGGCTGCAGAGCACATAGTCAATCTGATTTCTGTGTTGACCGTCTGGTGATGTCCATGTGTAGAGCTGTCTCTTGGGTTGTTCGAAAAGAGTGTTTGCTATGACCATTGTATTCTCTTGACAAAATTCTACCAGCCTGTGCCCTGCTTCATTTTGTACTCCAAGGCCAAACTTACCTGTTATTCTGGTTATCTTTTGGCTTCCTACTTTAGCATTCCAATCCCCCATGATGATAAGTACATCATTTTTGGGTGTTAATTCTAGAAGGTGTTGTAGGCCTTCATAGAACCGGTCAACTTCAGTCTCTTCAGCACCAGTGGCTGGGGCATAGACTTGGACTACTGTGATGTTGAATGGTTTGCCTTGGATTCGAACTGAGATCATTATGTCATTTTGGAGATTGTATCCCAGTACTGCTTTTCCTACTCTTTTATTGACTATGAAGGCTACTCCATGTCTTCTGAGGGATTCTTGCCCGCAGTAGTATACCTGATGGTCATCTGAATTAAATTCACCCATTCCTGTCCATTTTAGTTCACTGATTCCTAAGATGTCGATGTTCAGTCTTGTCATCTCTTGTTTGACCACATCCAGCTTGCCTTGATTCATGGATCTTACATCCCAGGTTCCTATGGAGTATAGATCTTTGCAGCATCGGATTCTCCTTTCACCACCAGATACATCTGCGACTGAGTGTCCTTTCGGCTTTGACCCAGTCGCTTCATTCTTTCTGGCAGTGCTAGTCCTAGCCCTCCGCTCTTCCCCAGTAGCATATTGGACACCTTCCAACCTGAGGGGCTCATCTTCCAGGGTCCTATCTTTTTGCCTTTTGGTACTATCCATGGGGTTTTCATGGCAAAAAATACTGGAGTGCGTTGCCATTTCCTTCTCCTGTAGGCTGCCCCTTAATTCCAAACACTTTCTACCCAGGTTTTTAAAAGAAGCAATCCACTTTATTTCAAATGTGTTCTAGAATCAAACCAGAATCACCTGGAATCCTTTGCAAGGTGCCGGTTCTTGCAAGATGCCAGTTCCCTGGTATTATTGTACTGGTCTCCTGGCCAACCTGGTATAGATAGTTTAACATCTTAATGTATTGGTTCAGGAAAGGAACAACAGTAGGCTTTGATTTACACCAGCACAAATAGAACAGAAGGTGCTAGGCTAACAACTCCCAGTGCTTTAAATGGAATTTTAGAAGCCACAATGCCGTCTTTACTTTCTAAGGCAGATTAGCTGGCTCTGGTCCAGATCCCCCAAGCTAGTGACCTGATCCGAACCCTAGGTTTAAGCACGTATTTATTTTCTTTCCCAGCAGAGGAAGATCATTCAGAGAATTGGTCTATCCGTGGGGAAGCTAAAGTTTCCTCCGAGAAAGAGAGCTCCCGCCTGAGCTAGTCTGGTCGTTAGGATGAGCTCCAAATCTACCACGATCGCTTCACAATTTGCCAGGGCTACCGATGAAGAAGGGGGCACAAGAAAATATTGGGAGGGGAGCGAGAACCGCGACTTCGCTAGCCCAGATAAAACTTCCTTTGAATTCTCTCTTAAGCCAGAGATCGATTTGCCTCGGATAGAGCAACAGAACATGTAAAATGTGTTCCATGCACCGTTGCCGTCAATGAAATCACAAATACACAACAGGGACCACTTACCATAACGAAACTTCGCCTAGGAAACGCGACCACTGACTCGAAATTTCTTTTCTGCTTTTGCGTCTTTCTCCGGAAAGACTAAAAAGAGGATATGCCCAGTGCATGCTGGGAAGTGTAGTTCACTCCTGTCTACACCATGGCTGAGACGCGTTAGCAAAGAGGCGGCCAACTACAAGCCCCAAGTAGCCGCTTCCTCTGCACGGAACAGGAGCCCTTCCCACGAAGAGGAAGAGGCGGGAAAGGGAATTTTCTTAAATTCTTAAAGCATACTTTATGGTTTTGGGAATAACGAAGTTCTAAGATGAAGGACTACGGTGCAACCCAGTTCACTTTCAAATAAAAAAGAAATGTTGCTACTCCCAGCTTCGCAAGGTAGCCATAATGGCTGGAGAATGTGGGGCGTTGTAGAACGTTGTTTCGGTCTTGTATATTTAGACAGGAAACTGCAGTTCATACTAGACGGGGCTCTCCCTGAACACTGTTTAGCAGCTGCCCCTTGTGCAAAATGTGATACCTAAGTAATAACCAGGACCAGATGGGCCAAGTTATAAGACCAATCTTGGCCCGCTTCTTTTGACTGTAGATGATTATTGGATTTCTATACCGCCGGTAGCTCTCTGGGCGGTTCACAACAAAGGTATGCTACAGACTTGTTCTGGGTGCTGGTTTTAAACTATGGGGCCTTACATAACTTGAGACTGCAATCCTTGACCATAACCATAATCCACCAAGACACTACAGTCAGCACCCGAGGACATCCTTTGAATGCTAACTCGAGGGAAGTTTGAAAAGCAGCAAGGAGGGTCTGGAGCCCTGTCTTCCTTTCAGGGTGAGATTAAAACAGTCCTCTATCCCAGTATATTGGATATTGAGTGACATGAGGGAAGTGCCCATCTCAGGCTTTACTGGACTACTCCAATATAAAGTGTTCCAATTGTTTTTCAATGCTTGTATTTTTGAAATTTTATGGTGTTCTACTATACTGTGTTTTATGAACTGTAAACCCCCCAGCGAGCAGTACAGAAGAGATGTAACAGTGTACCCTTACAAATTTCTTACTGCAGCAGCTTTACTGGACTGGAATTTCCATCAGCTACATGAAATGTTAGTTACCCATATGGATAAAAAGAGTGACAGATCATTATATGCAAGGTCTGGTTTTCTTCTGTACCAGTTTTTCCAATGTCAGGCATAAATTCAAGAGGTGAAGAGTTCTTAATCCCCGCATGTACAGCAAAGGTGCTAAAATAAGATCCTATGAGCCATTCCCATTCCACTTTTTTCAGTGGTGGTCAAATTTAAGTATCCTAGCAATTTGGTTTGTGTGTCCTCTGGATCTCTTAATGTTTAATTTTAAAAAATCACAATGTATATCAAGATTATTTCCCATGGAAGACAGCCCAGAATATGGATACAGTATAGGTTGTTGTTGAATTATGCATTGCTATTACATGTCAGCCATGTACTATGCTTTTAGTGATGGGTTGTTGACCATGAACAAATCAACATTAACCCAACAACAAATCATGAGTTCTCTTTCTGGGTTGTTTTTGGTTAACAACCCATAGTTAAATCATAACACGTCTACCATGTAATGACAACCCACAATTCAATCATAACCTACAAACCAAACTCAATCCATATTGTGGGTTTTTGTTACGTGCGGATCAGGCCATAGTTTGGAAACTTCTAGAGAACTGCACACAGAATTGCTTTGTTGCTGTCTATTTAACAAAACCTGTAAGACCTGCATACTACCTTGAGGAAGTTCAGCAGTACAAAAGGACCTGCAACCATCTCCAACAGAAAGAGAACCTAGGCAAGACTTGCAAGTCCAAGGAGCTTATTTCAAGAAAAAACTGAAATATTGCTGTAAGATAAGAAAGCAAGAAACAATACTTTTGTATGTTCAGAAACACTTTGAAGCTGCAATCCAGATTAAAGCGATTCCTACCCAGATTAACCTGCTAGGGAGCCCTACCAAAAACAAAACAGAACAGGCTTCCCAGCGGCATACAATTCACACACCCAAGCCTAATATCATGCTTTCCCTTTAAAAGGTTTGAAGCTCAAATTCTGGAAGAAATAGACTTGTGCTCCAGGGGATGGCTCAGAGTAGCAGCATGGTGTGTTCGCATCTTCCAATGAGGATTATAAGTGTGGGTTTGTTTGTGGCTGTCACAACAGGGCAAAGATATGAATATCTTTGTAGCAAGAAAATGTGGAAGTTGAGGTTCATGGAAAATGTGGAAGTTGAGGCTCATCGTGGACTGACCTGTTCAGCTGGTTCCCTGATCTGGTTAGTAATACTCTATGTCCTTTCTAGAAGCTGTTGCTGCAGTCACATGACAGTAATTAATTAACACCACACTAAGAAACAGGCCCCAAAATGGATGAAGGCTGATATAATAGTTAAGGTTCATGATACCAGAGAATGGGATTTACATTGTGATTGTAAAATGCTTGTATACTAAGATTTTAGAATTTATGATTCTTTGCTGACAATTGATCCTGTATTGTTAGGTTTTGTACACCTGATACCGACTTCTAATTAATTGCTATGTTCCATGTAGAAGCCAACAGTTTTCCATCTTGCTAAAAGCTTACTTTCCTGGGCAAACAATTTGGAACTAACAAACATTTTTTATTCTTGTTATTTTAAAAAGGTCAGATAATGTACAAATTGTAGTCTAATTAAATTATTGTAGTCATGTACAAATTGTAGTCTAATTAAATTATAGCAAGAACATTATATTAGCAAAATACAATCCAAACAGCCAAAAATAGATCTTTAATTTTAAATAAGGAACAATTTATTTATGAAATTGGAGGAGTATCTAAATTAGTAACACTATTTAATCCAGATCAAGACAAACTCCAAGAGTAAAATAATAGTAATTACAAAACAAATCTATTAGTATATGAAACCACTGACAAAATAGGAATCTGAGCTTGTTCAACTTCATCCTCATGCTGTCACTTAACATCTTCTGTATCATCCTGAAAATAAGCAACTTTGGTTCCTTTTGACACATATTTGATGTTTTCAACTTCCCCACCACCATTGCGAGGTTTCTGGAAGTGGATGGCAATCATATCTTCTACACACTCTTCCTCTTCCCCCTGTATCTCAATGCCGGTTAATAGTATGGTTTTCCTGGAAAGCCCAGCAAACATCTGATGCAAAGGGGGGGGGGGGGGGGGGGAACACACCACCAATTTAAAAATATTTAAATTGGTACAGTGGAAATTCTGACATGCGAGAGCTCACTTCATGATTCCATTCATTTGCCTGTTTAAAACAGGTCTGTGGCTGAAGGGCCAGTCTAGACATGTTCATAGATATCTCTGTGCACTTTTAACATGCACTTTTTAAAAGTACGAATATGAACCACAGGAAGGGTGGTGTTGCTGATAATAATCAAGATTCTAGCACATGTGCTCTTAATGAAAATGGCTCCTCCAAATTTATCTACACTGCAGGGAGACTGAGAACCTCCATTAGTACGGAGTATTTGCTGCAAGGAATGCTTTAGGCCTAATTTTTAAGGTAATTTTCATGCCCTTCAGTGTTTCTAACTGGCCAGAAGAATAGTGCCTCATATCAAGCCTTTGTTAAATAAACACAGATAGTGTGTCAGAGAGCGGCAACAGTATGGAGGAGGACTTGGCTGGTGCAGGGAATAGCACCCACTCTTCCCAGCATTGTCAAAGTTGGCATGCCAAGGATGACAGGGCCAGCGTAGGGATAAGCATAGGTTCCACACAGCACCAGCCAACTGGGCACCTCCTTCGTACCCCATCAGGCCACCCCAAGGCAGAGATGAAAGAGAACAGTGGGGATTTCTTCAGGGGCTCCATGAGGTGAATGTGGAACCTTCAATGGTCAGAGATTCAAGATGTCTGCTATAAAAGAATTCAGTCAAGAGCATTTAGGTTCTTGATGGTATGTTGAATGTCATTTTGACTTCATTATATACACCTGATTCTGAGGATCTCAAACCAATTGCTTGCCTGATTCTAGCCTTTATGCTTCATTCCCTGTTACCACAGCCCTTTGTAATATGTTGTATTATAAAAGGTGTTCTTTGGAAAGTAGGAGAAATAACTCATATGCTTAACTATTATGATTAAGGCTACATGCTTGCCATACTTATTTGGAAGTGCCATTAAAGTCAGTGCGCTTTACTTCCAAGAAAAGACTGAACTCATGCAATGACACTTCTGATGATTGGAGCCAGTGGTCAAATGGGGAGGGGGAGGGGGAGGGGGAGGGGGAGGCTTGCAAACTGCCATCCTGATATAATTTCCTTACCTGAAATCTTTCCAGCTTGTTCTGAATGACAGGAGAAACCATGATGCTATGAGTGCCTTCACTTGTTGGGAAATGGTATAGCCCAGAAGATTTCACAATATTGTTAATAGCTAGAACACAAAAGAGTGGTACTAAGAAAATGCAGCTTATCCAAATAGCTGAACATCTGAAGGAGACAATTTATTTGGTATGAAGGAAGACTTCCATGCTTTCTTCTTCATGTGTTAAAAGAACACCCCAGCCTTTCACACTCTATTATCACACCTGTCACCTGGTGCACATGAAGAGTGACAGTCTGAACAGGAAAGCTTCCTGCACCAGATGAGGCTCTCATGTGATTAAGAACTCGGGGTTCTTAATTGTGGGGAGAGCCCCCACAGGTATAGGAAGCTTGCCTGTTCAGAAGGGGATTAGAGTCAAATCCTGAACTGCATGTTAATAATTTCCACATTCGTTTTAGCAGTGTAGGTATTCATTTAAACAAACAGCACACTATTATACTAAGCCAAGTTCATAAAGCAGAACAAAAATCACCCAGGACTGATTAGTGCATTCTGGCACTAAGCACTAAGGAGGAGTCAGAAGAACAACAATGCTTGGCCTCCTTGGACCAGATCATGGACTTGGAAGAGAAGAATATAATGATCACTGTTGTTATACGTTGCTGCACTACCAGAAGAACCAAGGGGGTTGCACCTTCAACCACCAGTTCTCCATGCAAGTCATCCAGCAGGTCAGGACTTGGTCCAGACAAGATATGTAATTGGACATGTCCTTCAAATGTACCTGGACTTGAGAAGTCATATTATGCAGTATTTATTAATGTTAAACTTTTTTAGACCGTCCCTTACCGTGGTCTCAGGATGATTTAACAATAAGACAAAATACAATAAAACACAGCATCCTAGTCAAATTCTTAGCCAATCAAGACGACCCATATTAAAATAGTCAAACCTTAAAACATTGGGAAAATAAAAAGGTTTTAGCTTGGCGCCGAAAAGAATAAAGTGACTATGCCAGGCGAACCTCTCTGGGGAGTGAATTCCACAATTGGGGCACCACCACAGAGAAGGCCCTTGTCTGGGTACTCACCCTCCTAATCTCCTTCAAAGAGGGCTTCTAGAGAAGGGCCTCTGGCCCAGATCTTAAGGGGCAGGAAGGAGACATCCCTTCAGTTAACCAGGCCCTAAGCCACTTAGGGCTTTATAGGTCAGCACCAACATCTTAAATTGGGCCCAGACTTCACTTGGTAGCCAGTGTAGGTGGTGTTGTGTGTTCATATCTGCCGGTCCCTGTTAACAACCTGGTGGCTCTGTTCTGGACCAGCTGAAGTATCTGGACCATCTTCAACGGCAGCCCCATGTAGAGCACATTACAGTAGTCCAACTGGGAAGTTACCAGCACATGAGTCACCATTACCAGGCACTGCTCATCCAGATAGTGGCACAACTGATAAAACAGCCAAAGCTGAAGGAAAGCTTTCCTTGCCATAGCTGTCCCCTGGGATTCCAGGGACAGTTCCGGATCGAGGAGCACTCCCAAACTGCGCACCCTGCCCTTTAGGGGGAGTGAACCCCATCCAGAACAGGGTTGGAAACACCTACCCACTGAAATCAACACAACATGCAACACAGTCACAGACCCTAGAAAGTTAACAGAATGCTTCAGTAATTACCCATAGGTTGGCTCAATATAATGAGGGCCATCTGAGAGCTTGGGTCATAAGCCACGGACTGCACCTCTCCTCCCAGTTTAGTTTTGCAAAAAAACAGTTCCAACTTGTCTTTCATCCATTCCACAGGGATGTTTAGGTGTGGAATATTAGAAACATTAAGCTTCCTTTGAGAAATATTTGCATGAAGCTGTAAAAATAATACAGGGCAATTTTGAAATTACACATGTAAAATAAAATCCAGAAGTAAAGTCATGTTAACCTACAGCAACCCTAACATGCCACAATCATAAGAGCTTTCATTGACAAGCACATCCTCCAGCCATCTGTAAAGTAAAATAGAACACAACTGTTATTCATTAACTTAAGGGCCAAACATTTCTCAAATTCAAGGTGAGAAGATCGTAAATATACAGATTGAGGTATGATGCAACAGAAAAATTCATTAAGGTGAGAGCAGTTGCCGGCATTTATAACACAGCTTTTACTATGTCACATGTGAGAGTTTTCACACCAGCATTGGTCACCAAGAATATCTGGTGCTGGTATAGAAGCCTTATAGGGTCAGGAGAAGCAATGTGCCAAGCCATGCTTGTTATATTATCTGGAATGTGATAATTTGCATGGAGAATGTGTCTATTTTGAAGGGCAGACAACATGTGGCCTGCCTCTGGGCCCGTAAAATGGCCTTCAGAACTAACCTGTGGACAACTGTGGTCTGATCTGAGATTTGAACCCTTGCCAGTGAGGTCTCAGTCCAATGCTTTGCCTGCTAGAATGTGGTGTGCACAGAATATCTTACAGAGAAATGAGAAGCCAACTTTCTTTTCCACAGGATTCCAGATACCTACGAATCTATGAGACTGAAACACATACTCCCGCAAATCCAGATCTAGCAACATCTCCCCCCGCTTTACTCCAAAGTAGACCAAGTAGTGCCAACCTGGACTGTAACATGCTAGGGGCATATACAATCCCTAGCATATTAGGTGTCCTGTGTCTACTCTAGAATTAAATAAATGTGTGTTTTGGCCTGTGAGTTGCATTCTCTATATTCTCACCAGTGTAGAGTTAAAACTGTCTTGCCATGATAATTCGGTTACCTCAAATATGATTCCTGTTTCCAGAATAACAGGCTGGGCTCTCACAACTATCTTCTCTTTTTCCAGGTTCACAGTATGACATTTTCCCACTAGTCCTTGGGCAACTGAAGGATAACATGCAAATAGGTTTCCATAATTATGTATTCGCAAAGAGAACACTCTTTACATTACAGTTTGTTGTGTTTTTGTGGCTTTGAAAGTTCACATAAACTATGCAGTCATATAATGAAAATATGCTACAAAGCTACTGTCAGCAGCAATGGCGTTACAGCAAGACTAGTGCCCAATATCCCTGAAAACTCTGAAGCCTTTTCAACCCAGAATAACAAACCGGCCCACCCTGTACCTACCCTGAGACCTGGCGCCCCTAGATTTTGGGGCTACAACTATCAGCATTCCAGACTATTGGCCATGCTGGTTTGAGCTGATGGGACAGAAGTCCGAATGTCTGAAGGGCACCAGGTTTACGAAGGCTGCCCTACAGTGTTGCTTCTGGCAGTTGTGAGACTCTCTTGCTGAGCCAGTGTCTCTTTGCTTGGTTCCAACATCTACCTTAGCAAGAACACTATTGATATCATGGCTGGTTCTTTCAATATGAACAGTGAAGCAGCTGCCTCAGACAGCATACTCCAGGCACCATTAACAGGCATTGTATTGTAACTTATATAGTTTATTCTTTTTTTTTTCCTTTACCAAGGCTTCTGTAGATAAATTTCTGGTGTCAAAATATCCTGGCATGGACCACTTGGGTAGCATTAATGCACAAGTAAGTGATGAAATGTAAACAAGAATTGGCTCTAAGTAGGGATATGCGAGGGGTGGGAATCTGTTGGAATCCCTGGGCTTGGCTCCCCAGAATTGTCTGCTTTGCACGGGCTTAGATTCTGAATTCCCAGCAAGCGCACCCAACATTCATTCACGGCGGAGCGCTTGCCAGGAATCAATTCCCACACACTGTGCAAGCAGCATCCATCTTCCACACCACCTGCAGCAGCCCAAACAGCCACCGGGGGCTCAATTCCTGGCAAGCCCCGTGCGAGAACTAGCACTGTCCCTCTTCCATGCCATGTGCCGCAACAATCTGGACTGCAGCAGCTGACACACAAGAAGGCTGGCTGCACAGGGCTCACCAAGAATGCAGCCCCGTGCAGCCACTAGCAGCATCTTTCTTCCACACCACCTGCACCAGCCTTTGTGCTGCTGCACCTGACACAGAAGGTGGTCCTGTTTGCACAACCTTTGTTCTGACAGCATTCACAGACTTCCTCTCAGGTCAGCTTGCTTTGCAAGAGACAGTCTGCTAATACTAGAGGGATTGCATTAGGATTCATCCCACCCCAAGCCTAGCCCTAAGCTCTTCCTACCAAGGGAGAGAAAACACTTGCTTAACCCAAACTTCCTTGCTTAAAAATGAGTACTCATATATTTGAATATACATTTCATACCCTTTTCTTCTTCAAATGTGATGAGAGCTTCTCCTTGACTCAGCTTGAAAGGGAATTTTGTAGCTACATGAAAAACGTAGGATATGTTCGTATGTGCATTTTCATTCTTGACATTCTCCAGTCGCCTAAATACCATTTTCTTCTCAGGCATATATTTTCTGAACTAATATTTTAGAACAAAAAGCAAAGATGACAACAACAACAAGATTAAGTTTGTTTTAAAAAAATGAATAAATTTTAGCTACTAGGGAGAAGGTTTCAATCGTATATATTCCCAAAGTATCTGCTTATTTCTCAAACTTAAGAGTGTCATTATATAAGTGCAAATATATTTCACATGACCTAATGATAGCACAAATTATGGGGCAAGGGGTTACCTTTTGCTATGGTCACATTTGTATTATTTTAGAAAATCAGAGAGATTATTTTAGTTTTGACTAAAAGAAAATGTCCAGAACTGAGCCTTACGATTGCATTAAGGGCTTTTTTAACCTTATCATCAAGCACTGTTTTAAGCATTTTTTTTCTCCTGGGGTATTAACCTCCTCCCAACACACACACACACACACACACCAAACAAGTATTATACAGTGCAGCTACTTCCTGTGCAATGCTGCTGTCATAAACATTATTAACTTCTTTGCAACTTTTCAAAAGCAAAACACAAACTGTTCTTCTGGACAGAATTTAAAATAACAACAGTATTCCAGTCTTCTACAAAGGAGCTCAGAGCAGCATTTTAGCCTCACATCAATCCTGGATGGTTGTGTTTCTCAAGACTGCCTTCATACCAAGCTAGCTCTATTGCTAATTAGTTCTAAGTTCACTAATTACTGCTGATTAGTAAGGATTAAACCCAAGCTTCCCACATCTTGATCCAATATTCTAGTTGCTATAATGCATAATAGTGACAGAAGTGTTTCCCCCATGTGGACTTCCAATGAACAGCTCTTTGGCCACTGTAGACAAAAGGATGATAGGTCTCTGCCATGACCCAGCAGAGCTCCTTATAAAGACTGCACTGGTTAGCTGCTGGGGCAAATTACTCCATTCAGGCTTTAACACTATGCTCACTTAACTGGGTGTAAGGCCTGCTGAACTCAAGGTGATTTATTTCTGAACAGATATGTATCAGATTGCAGCATTAGGAAGATTTTAATTTGTAGTACACTACAAATTCACAGAAACAAGGTGTGGTACTTTTTTTTTCCAAACCACAAGATGGCAAATCCTGTTCAATTATTTAGGAAAACCTGAAATGTTCTTAACTACATTTAATGCTTTAGGCAACCTTGCTCAAAACCATTTCATCCTTATTTTCACTATCTCATCATACTGAATAAAGATATGTGATGCTGAAAGTTAAATGAAAAAAAGAGAAGTTACCCAAAAGCGCTGCATTTGCTTAGGTTTCTTCTCTGCAATTTTAATTTTAAGTCTCTCTATTTTCCTTCTCAGAAAATTATTTTCTTCCTCTATGTCAGAAAGGCTCCTCTGCAAAATAAGAAAAATCAAAATATCCATTAATTGGGCATACCTGATGTTGCGAGAAAAATATTTTTCCTCGTTTAATCATCTGCTAAACAGCACCAACAGCCTGGCAATCACTATAAAGCTAGAATTTGTGCAAATGTTTTAAGAAAACTCCAATTTTATTGAACCTGAACTGGATCAATATAATCCAATATAACAAACCCCCAAATCTGTTCTGAACTAAATTAGAACTATTAAAGATTACATTATCTAAAACAAGAGTGTCTTTGATACAGCAGAGGCTTCTACAGCAAACGAATTTTTGACTTCTGTCCCCTTCTCTTACATTCTGTACCACATCCCACACTGATCCACAAGGGATCCTATCACAGTGAAACAGGTTTTTACTGACCACACAATGTTGTAAGGAGAATCAGTAAAAACTGTCTTCTTCCCTTTTGCCAGTGAACAGAGTTCCACTAATGGAATTTTGATCCCAAGCCAATCAGTTTAAGGTGAAGGTGATGCCTCCTTTCGAACACTGGAGTCCTGGCTCCGATTCTGCTAGAATTCTGAAGGGGCTTGATCTGTCTAGATATTATTTTCACCATAGGGCTACATTTTCCAACTCTTGACTACACTGTGAAGTCAATTCACCACCCACAGCGACATTCAACATCACACTGGACTCCTGCTCAGGCCGTGGGACTTCTTCTCCCTCCTGCAGTCCTCCTCCCCCACTCAGATCTGCTCCAAACATTCCCTGACCAAATGGAACAGTCTGCAGGACGGCAAAGGAATGTGCAGGAATCCACTTGAAAAGCAGTGTCTGGCAGACTAGCAAGGTTAGATACAACCTATTTCAGGATGTTTGTATAGAGCTTTTCCTCACTTGTAATCCAAGTCACCTGGCAGAGCTGCCTGCGTAATGGCTTCCATTTGTGCAATGAGTTTTGCCATTGGATTATGGAAATGTTATGTTCTTTGGAGCCCAAACCATCTTTTTGCTCAATGACCAGAAAAAGGAAAGTGAAAGAAGAATGCCACTAAAACCTGCGTATAGAGTTTTGGGATGGAGCAGGCTGTAAATCAAGTTTGTAGATAATTTTCATCAAAGTATGTAGATAATAGTCAACCCAGTCTGAATTAAATAATGCCAAGTCTCTGAAAAATGGGAAAGCTAGTTTACCATTTCAACTCACAGTTTCAAATTCTTCTATGAACTCCCACAACTTTTATGATCTACATCATTGTTTATGGTATCCTTACTTGGAAAAAAAAAACCCTTGTTCCTTTGCAATGCAAAACAACCTTTTTCTACTAGGGCCACACAACTATAAAACACACAGCACAACAGCCCTGACTGATCAGTGCCTGAAGTCTTTAGACAGTACTGCAAGAGTTTGTTTTCTGCTTCAGTGTTATGGATACTTAATGCTTAATTTCTATGAGATTTTAAGTTATATTTTTACAAATGTGTGCATGCTGAACTGCCTGATCATTTTTCTTCTTTTACCTGATATTGACATCTATTTCATATGGCATAGCAGAATGCAGCATTGCTGCAAAATTCACTGAAACAATGTATGTGTATAAAATGTAAATTATTTTTAAATAGGAACTATAAATTTTGAAAACATGCAATATGAATAATAAATAAAAATTATGGATAAAATTAAGTTATGCATGAGCAGTTACTAAAGTGGCTAGGCCTATGGTCAAATGTCTAGATCGTTTAGCCACTGGACAGCAGTACCCTCAAGATGGGGTAGCTCCTGCAGGGAGCCAGGAGAGCTTCTGAGGGGGTATTTCATCGTAAGGTGGTGTAGAGTTTGCGGGCCATTCCCACAGTCAGAATGGTCGACCAGCCCCCATTCGTGTTTCCAGTATTGGCACCCGCCATGATTAGTTCAAATCCAACCTGATAAACATGATCTAAATTAATGTAAGATGTACATGTGTGTGCACACGCACACACACGCACACTCAAACGCATTTTGTTTCAGCAGAAATCTAGAGGCATCTACTTGTTCCACTCCATAAGCAACCTAGTGTTCTGAACGCAGACATCTTAATATTGTTTACTATTATCCTATTTATTGCTCAAACCCATCCATTAATTTGAGAACTGAACTCCTTTTTTTTCTCAGTGTTAATTCAGATTATGCCTTTGCCCCAGTGGTATGAAACAGACAGAAACCCACTGTGGTGTATATTCTATAGGGACATTCACGCTGCACTCATCTCCCCTTTGATGAACCAATTTGTGGGCTGTACAGGACAACAATACATCTATATATTACTGTCTGACACTAATCCAATGTTTACATATAATGTCACTATTTTTTTGCAGCCGCAATAGATATTTGCAGAGGGATTTTGCAAGAGTGCAGACCTACCTATTTAACTGGCGGAAAGATTAACATCTGGGGAGTAATGCCATCTATCCAATATAACTGATGTGCATCCCAGTCTAATACTAGCATTAAAATAGTATATTGTGTTGAAATGTTTATCATTTGGAATGGGGATATAAATAGAGCGACCAGGTTGCTGACGAGGACTGGGCATTATTCTCATATAACCCCAGTCCTCTACCAGCTTCACTGGTTCCCCATCGAAGTCTGGGCTCAATTCAAGGTGTTGGCAATCACTTATAATAAGCCCTTAATGGCTTGGGACCCGGATACCTAAAGAAACGCCTGCGGCTGTATTTGCCCTCCCGCCCCTTGAGATCGGCAGCAGAGGCTCTCCTCCGGGAGCCCTCCGGGAGAGATATCAGGAAGCAAAGCACCCAGAGGAGGGCTTTCTCTGCGGTGGCACCCCATCTGTGGAATGTGCTCCCCAGAGAGGTCCACCTGGCACTGTCATTTTTCGGCACCAGGCCAAGATCTTTTTATTCAAACAGTATTTTAATAATGTTTACTATTTATATATTTTAATTGTGCAGCCAGTGTGTTTCCAGGTTTTAATTGTAATTGTTTTATTTATTTACTTCTGTGAGCCATCCTGAGGCTATGTAGCAAGGGGACGGCATATAAAAACTTTAAATAAGTAATAAATAAATAATATTGTATAAGGCATACATTTTAGAACTGACTCTGGGGAATTATAGCATATTAGCACTGCTACGTACACCTTATAACTAATGGTTAATATTTACCAATATTTTCCCAATATTTCTGTATTGCCTTTTAATGCTTTACTTTGGTCTGGTCTTATTGATTGAATGAATGAATGCAGACTAAGCTCAGGAAGACAAGCATGTGAAATGCTACAACAGGACATTCCTGCTTTATTGATAGCTTTATTCAGGCAGGTCATGAATTCTCCATTTCTTTATGTCTACATACCCTTCCTGTATGCCTTTTGAGAAAAAGTAGTGCTTAATACTACTTAATCCCGATTTTCTGACTGACCTACTCCCTTTGATAAAGTGTTCCTAGCCCCTAAATTCCCTTTAGGCCCCCAAATCTAAAAACACTGGTTGCAATTGAACAGTTTACTTTTAAAACAACTTATTAAAATCATCTGGGCAGTTCACAACAGTCTGTACTACTTTGTTTCTAACAAAACATTATAGAGGCGTAAGAATTATTTCTAGTATTTACTTCCCCTGCATACAGCCACTACAGCACAGGTGCATTTACAGCAGCCATTAGTCTGGAACTTGAAACCTGCTGCCCCGAGCCAAATTTGGCCCACCAGCCTTCCCAATACAGCTTGTCAAGGCCTCCCCTCCAGAAGCTCCTGCTCCTTAGGGATGGGAAAAGGAAACTGGGTTTGCTTGGAGCTGCCATTTTAAGATTGCACTGGTGCCTGAAGAGGCAGTGGCTAACACTGCTGCACCCTCCTTGAAACAATAGCTACACAAGGCTACCTGGTGCCTTGCAATGGTGGCTTCCAACGGGAAAGGCAAAGGGTAATTGAAGCCATGTTGAAGAGGGAGCTGCTCCCGTGGTTTGTGTGTGAATGCATGCAGGAGAGCAGGGATGGGGGTCCCTCTGCCCTCAACATTCTTCCCTACAACCAAAAGAAGTTCCCCAACTGCTTTAATTGTTACTATTAAGCTTGTGTCTCTTTCACAAAGCACTCCGCTACGCAAAGAACACCTAGGACTTCAGCAGAGCAAAGGCTTAGCTTCCAAATCTGTTTTAACGGCCAAGTCTCAACCTGAAGCATGACAGAGAATAGTAGTGTACCTTTGAACATGGGCAAAGGGCACTTTCCTCACCTCAAGCAAAGTACAATGAGCAGTTTACTATTAAGCATAAGAGCAAGCTTTCCAAGGCATAGATATTTCAGGTTTGAGGCTCAGTTCCATTCTATAGACACCATCATTTCCTCTCATTAACTATTTGCATATTGTCTTGCAATTGCAGTATATGGATTAACTACTTGTTTAGGTTATAGTCCACCTGTATGCTTGTTTTCTTCCTTATGTTCTAGATCCTTCACTCTTTAAAGTTCCTTATCCACCAAGTTTTTTTAAGCCTGTCAGACTTGTATGTTCTTGCATTTCCCTGAGTTTCAGGGCTTCAAATGAAACCCCACTACAAGGTCTTTAAAGCATGTAACCAGTTGCAATGTATAGCCTATATAAACAGCTCATCTGTGAATGCGCCATACAGGACGTACCTTCCACTCTTCCAGTTTTTTACATTCTTCTGACATCCCACATTCCTCCACAGTCTACAAAACAAAAGTTAACAGGAATATTTATCTTCATTTTGCAGCATGTATTGGAAACCATTACAGAACTACACCTTTTGCCAAATACAAAAGCATCCTACAGACAAAAACAAAGCCCAGTGATGTTACTAGGTAGTAAGAAAATGCATACAATCTACAGTGGCAAGTTTTCATTTGTTTAACTGGAACTGCATGAGTACCTACAGAATTTGCTTTCAGCATTATCAGTTCCATAGGATTTTCCATTACACATGCACATGGAATCTCGGTGTTCTCAATACTCTGTAAAACACAATAAAAACATATATGCTTTACTTTATATAAAATTCAGTTTGTTTAATTTGTTTAACAGGAACTGTGTGAGCACTGACATAATGTATCTTCAATTGATCTAGTTTTTTAAGAAGTTCCATCTCATTTACTACCCCTGGAATTTGACCTTTTTCCATGCTCTATAAAACACAAACAATATATCATCTAGAAATCAGAAACACAAGCTTTAATTTGTTTAGTCATAACTATATAAACACTTGCAGAACTTACCTTCAATGATCCTAGTTCGTTTGGATATCCCATCTTATTTAAATGTGTTCCTAGAATACTAGCTTTCTCTGCACTCTGTAAAACAGTCAGAAATACATAGATAATTGCAATTAAAGGTGCAAGCTTTAATTTATTTAAGTGGAACTGTATGAGCACTTACAGGATTTATCAATTGTTCTGTTTCCCTCAGATTTTCCTTCTCATTTACAAGTGCTCCTTCTTCTACCCTCTATGAAACACAGTAAGGAATACACAAAAAAGATAAATTATGTGAAAATCAGTGGTCCAAGTTTAAGTTTGTTTCATCAATAGATTAACCAACTAAGGGAGTGATCCTTGACCACTGATCTCAGGGACCATAGTATTGTTCCATTTGAGAAAGAGGAGTCAGAGCCAACTCCTCTGTCCTATTCCCTCCCAACTGAAATGGAAGGGACCATGCTAGCTGCCCTCCAAGGTCAGAAGAGTAACTGCAGAAGAAGCAGAAAAGAGGCTTTCTGAGGGACAGGGAGGCAAAGAGACCGGAGAAGCCAGGCTACAAGATACTCTGAGCCTCTTCCAGTTTCCTTCCCTCTTCTGGTGGTGGCCAACTTCGTGCAATCTCACAAGTTTCTTTGCATATACAAAGACATCCTATGTCTTTGCTGATATAAGCACACAGGGCTTTTCTACACTGGGAGAATCTTGGCCCAGCCAGATTTCCCACACATACGTGCACACAGGTTTACGTGTGAGCACTGATACATGTATGCAGCTTATTCACGAAGGGAAGAGGTGGTGAAGGAGTAAGGCGGGTGAACAGGGAAGAGTGGGGTTACATAGCATAGCCATGCAAACCCCTACCATGTTCTTTTAATCCCCAGGGTACCCTAATATTTGATGCAGCATTGGAGTTTTACTAGAATTTGGCAAGTCATGGTTTCAGCTCCTTACCAGAATATTAGCAGTTACAACTTACTTTACAGAGCTGCTTTGAAGAATGATATTGTACATCATTTCATATGGTTAAAACGTGATATATAAATGATTAGCTATAATTACAGAACCATCTCACTAATAAGAAATGAGTACAATAAGCTGTCACTACACTGCATCAATAGGGTGTGTCTACACTGCATCAAGATAGCAAAAGTTCTGTAATTTATATAAAGAGAGCGAGGTGCTTAAATAAGCAGCAATCAGTTATTCACAGACAATACTCACATGGCAGCACAGTGAGAATGTGTTGAACAAATAAGGGAGGCACTTTCTCGGCTTGGTCATGTCCCTAATAAACCTAGCATTCCACTTCAAACACAGCAGCAAACACAGTGGCTGCATTCACACATGACAGTGAACCAATGCACACAGTGCGATTCCTTACCTGGCTGCTGAGTTCAGGAAATCGCCTTATTTCCATACTTGCGAGGTTTCCACTCTCCTCCATCATTTCTCCTAATGGAAGCAAATATCCCATTAGCCCCCACAGCTGCAACTCAGTCCCAGTGCTCACTGCACCTGCCTTTCCTCCATCGGTCTGCACCGGCCCTCATCCAGCTACCCCTGGTTTGTGACCTTACTCACCAGAGCAGAACTGTCTAGAGTACTGCTAGAGTTGCACTCCCTTGTCCTGCCGTGCTCCATGCCGAAGTTTAAGCATGCCCACCCACACCCAAACCTCTCCCTTGCTGATGTGTCCGTGTTCCCTGCATAGAGGGCTCACACAGACTGCCAGGGGCCAACCCCCCCCCCCCCCCCGTGCTAAGGCACATGGGAAGTATCACTGCAAAAGGCAGTGTCCGCCCCTGCCCACCTCAAGCCACTGCTGCAGCCACCTCCTCCACCCCCCCCTCAGAATACACCTCCCCCCCCCACCACCACCTGCACCATCACCTGTTAAGGCAGCACACCCTGGCACACTCCCCCCATACCAGGGCATGCTGAGTGACTTCATCCGATGCTGCCCCTCACCCCCACTCCACCCAACCCCACAGCCAACCCTCCCCACAAGAATCACACCCCTGTTGCAAAGCACGTCTTTATTTCTGCAGCATCGTGGGGACTTGGGGGCAGGGGAAGGGTGGCTGGGCCACAGAGAAAGCGTGCCAGGCATTAATAAAAACTAGCAGGCTCTTCTGCTGGCACACAAAACTCTCCTTCCCTACCACTATCCCCCCCCCACAGCACCCCCCCACGCTAGCATGGATCCAGCTGTTGGATGCCAATGCCTGACTCCTGCTGTTCACTATATCTAGCACTACCCTTCACTGCAGACATAAGCCTACATGTTTAAACACATGGCTAGCTTGCAGCAGGGCACCGGGGCTCCTTGAGCCATTCATGGGGGTGCAGGAGGGAAGCATCTGTGTTCATCCACCACCCCACACACCTCTCTCCTGTGAGGGGCAGGCAGGAAGCCCTGAAAGTCACTCTAACCTGGCTACTGCTAGGGAGTAGCCAGTATCCACGCCACGCTGGCTGCTCTACCGGTGGAACCCGCATGGACCCATGCGCCTCATTTCTGGCAACAGTGGAGCTTGTGGAAAGATGGGAATGGAAAAAAGGGCAGGAGGCAGAGCAGGGAACGTGGACTTTCCAGGGAGAGCACCCCATGTGTGGGCTGACAGGCTGCTCTTGCGGGGCAGCTTTGCAGAGGGCACCTGACTGGGGAATGGATTATGGGAGCTGCAATTCAATACTGGCTGGCAGCTTATGGGAATGAGCCAGTCATAGACTCTCAGCCTACCTTTCCTCGCAGAGTTCTTGCTGTGAGGATAAAACGGAGAGGAGGAGGAGGATTATGCACGTCACGCTGAATTCCTTGAAAGGAAAAAGAAGGCAGAATATATATATTTTAAAAAAATCAATCCGGAGCGTGCCCTGTTGGGGAAGAATGGTCTAGGAACTACTATGGGCCACTCAGTCCCACTGCGGCGCAGGGCTGCGTCGAACAGGTGAGAGGGGAAGCGCTCGCCCTTCCCTGCCGCTCCCCTGACGGCAGCCGTCCTCCGCCAGGTGATCCCCGCTGGCGGGGAGCGGGTTCCTGCTGCAGGCAAGACAGAGGCGATGAGGCAGCAGTTCACCGTTTGGTCGACCCTCTTCGCCAACAACAGTGGAGTTTTCTTCAAAACGAGGGTAGTATTATTTCAAATGTCCAACACGACGCTCAGATTGAGAACTTACATGCAAGATTTTGCCAGCGTCTAGGAAGGAAAAGCCAGAAGCACCGAAGCCTCCTTACCCTGTTTGCGACAGGACTGTCTCCCCCGTCGCCGCCGCCGCCGCCGCAGCAAAGGAAACTGCTTTCAGTTTCGCTTCTAAAAGCTGCCACGAAGTTTGCGAAGAGGGAAGTTTTGCAAAGCGGGGAGGAAAGCAGGGGAGCGGCAGGACGACCCCGCGACGGCGTGCAGGCCATTCCCCGCGAGGGCGCACACTTACGAGCGGGGGCGCAGGTGGCGGGGCGCGGGGGGGGCGCCCGCGTCCCCGGGCGTCTCGGAGCCTCGGCGAAGGCGAGTGGGCGGCGGCGGCCGCTGCTCTTTTCTGGAAGTCACGTGAGGCGGAGGAGGGGGGGCGATGTCTTGCCTCGGAGATCTCCCTGCCTCCTTCAACCCTTCATCTTCCATCCTACATCTTGGGCCTCGGTTTTGTTTTCGGTTTTCCCTCCCGCTGGAGTTCTCGGGCAGGGAGTTCGTAGCAAAGCACACGGCGCTTGTCATTATCCAGGGTTCCAGACCTTGCCCGACCCCCTCTGTGCCCTGTTTTAGCAGTTTTCTGCTCCGGCTCAGCGACGGGCTGGCGCAGAAACCGTCCCAGGAGCTGAGCCCCCATTCTGCGAGCAGAGAAGGCCCAAGCTCCATCCACAGCACCAGTTTTTAAATAAATACCAAGTGGCGTGGGGGGGGGGGAAGCTGCTACCTTAGAGCCAGTGCAGAGGGAGCGTCTCCCGAGTAGAACAGGCAACGAGAGACCAGGTGGACGTGCTATCCGATAGTTTCTATGTTCTTGAGCTGGCACACAGGAATGTGTGTGTGTGTGTGTGTGTGTGTGTGTATATGTATGTGTTAATTTCTATACCATCCAATATCCAAAGCTTTCTCATAACAATTAAAACCATAATGTACAGCATGATAAAGCCAGCTTTTCTTCTTTTTTTACCCCCCCCCCCAAACCCTATAATATAAACCAAAGTGAAAACCAGCAGCAATCTAAAGATTTAAAAATACAAAAAACTAAAATGTATAGCAGGAAAAAAAAAAAAAGATCTTTACCTGGTGCTGGAGAGATCACAATCTAAGCACCAGGTCACTGTCTCTGAAGATGTCAGAAGGGACTCTGAAGATGATGCCAGAGTCTGGGTTAGGGTTCACCTGTTCAGCTGGTTGCATAGTCACCACACAAACTGTGGAAGTAACTTCATGGTTTTCTGCTCAAAGGAAGGAAGCAATCACATGGATGGGAGCTAGTCCAATCAGGTGTCTATTCTTGGGGCATGTGCTGCGTGAAATGCAAGTTTGGTTCTTTCCAGAAGGAGGAGTCCTTGCAGTATTGTTGAACAGGCATCCTACAGTTGTTCTGTCTTTTTATCCTTCATAGATTTTCTGCTGTAAGACAAAAGAGGAAGTAAGGTGAAAACACAGGAAGATTACAAGTGGAAAGCAAGAACATCTGGAAGGGGACCCACCCCAAATTGGCAGAATGATAATACAGCAGAAACCTCATCTGGAAGCACCTCTGTCTAGATGGAGAGAAGAGGAAACACTTTCCCTGCAGCTCACTGTTCTCCTATGTGCTGTGCATAGTGTTTTCCTTATCACATTCTGCCAGCCTGGACTGTCATTTTAATCAACTATATGGATGCTTTGCTTCATCGCAAAGCCAGCCCGACATGGAATGTTTGATTTGCATCCCTAGAAGATTGCTTCTGTTGCCTTAGAAGCCAAACAGAATTTAGGGTTCTGTTCCCAAATCTAACCCTATGAGAGCTATCAGCTGACCCTCCAGCTAGAAGGCAGGTGTTCAAAAGGCATAACTGATAACACCAGTGAGACTTGTTTATGGTTTACTTGAGGGATATAAATACAGCTCTGCCCTTCCATTTCTTCCCCAACATGGCTGTTCCATTAAGTAGTTGCTGACCAGAGCATTAAAGCAACAACTGACCTAGACAAATATAATTCATTGCTTCTTTTCTGGTAAATATACAAAAAGCTCTCCTTTTAGGTAAAACCGCTGTTGACATAAGTCTTGATGCTACATCTCCTTCCAGATGGGGGCAGCCTGCACATTAAAAACAAAATGAAGCTGTGAGAAATGAGATCCTTATTAACTATACCAAGGCTGCAATCTTATGCAGATTACCCTGGAATAAGTCTAATTGAATTCAGTCACACTTCTGAGTTGGTGACCTTCTGAGTTGGTTCTTTTGGAAAGAAACATCAAACAAAGATCCAAATTACTGTAAATATTAATAGGGTTGGTTTACCTGGCCAATACACAGAAACTGCTTAACTCTGACACATGAGAAGTATTACAATGTGTGAAACCGTTGTGTAATTCATCTGCACATGGCACAAGATTTACTATATTAAAAGTAATGGTTTAGGGCAGGCTTTCCCAGCTTGCTGTCTTCCAAATGTTTTGGACTACAATTTACAGCACTCTTGACCATGCTGGTTGAGTTGAAGTCCAAAACATCTGGAGGGCCACAGGTTTGAGAAGCCTAGTTTAGGGTAACCTGCAGAAGTACTTATAATCCTTATGAAGATCCACTGCCCACAAGAACGAATGGCTCAGATCCACCACCAGGAGGAGAAATGGAAAGTAGCCTCCACGTGGCAGGTGTAATATGTAAACTAAGTTCTTGCGGAATTGCATTATGAGTAATAGACTCAGGATATTAAAAAGTTTGTCAGGACCTGTTGCTACAGTTCAGTCAACACTAATAACAACAGCAACAGTCTTGGATATTTTGCAAGTTTTGCCTGTAAGAAAAATGTGGCCCTTTCATGCAATAATTGGGAGGGGCCATGCATAGCTCAGTTGTGAAATCCGTGCTTCATATGCAGAAAATCCCAAGTTCAGCCCTTGGTGAGGCTGGGTAGGTCTCTCCGAGACCCTAGGGAGCTGCTATTGCCAGTCGGAGAGGATGGACCCATGATTCAGCTCAGCATCGGGCCAAAGCTGAAAGATGTCCTAAGCAGTTGTTACATAAGCTCCAGATGGCTCATCCAAAGCAGTGCTTCTATTGTAGAGAAAGCATGATTTCCCAACAATCAAGCAATAATGTTTTGTTGCTAAGTAAATGCGATTTTGCCACCTAGCTACTGCATCAATTTCAGTCATCCTCAGAATTTGGCTATGTGTCAAAGACAAGTATTGGTGACTGACCATTTATCACCGGGAACAAGCAAGAAATCACACACAGAGCAACCATACTGGTGCTATTTTGAAAACAAAACAAACCTCTTTAGAGGATGAATGGTCCTCTTCAGTACTCATTAAGCATGAAAGAACACATGCAGTTCTTTAAAGAAAAGGGAAGGTTTAACACCATGAATGCTGTCCTCTCCATCCTTCCATTTCATGATCCTTGAGGAGTCTGGCATTGTGGTTGAGATATTCAAGATGAAACTAGCTGCATCAGAAAGCAAACTGGCTTTTACACTTTAACTCAGATAACAAATTTAGGGTGCTATTTGTTGCTTCCCTCTGTGCCAACTGACAAAGGTAGGCAATTTGACCCCAGGGTCAAAGTTGGCCCATGACATTTCACTGCCTAAGGGGAAGAACAAGATGACAATCTCTCTCATTCCACTACAAGGCCCATGGGACTGGCAGGTGATTCTTTCAACAGCATCGATGATAGGACAGCATCCTAGAGAGTGCAGGGCAGGGTCTATGGCAAGCTTCAAGCAGCTGCTTTTTGTAGTGCAAGGCATCCTTAGAGGGAAGCTGTTTCAGCAGAATAGCAGCCCCCCTCCTTTTCCCTACAAAAGTCCATTTCTACTGAACCTCTGCATCATTGTTGATTTATCCTCAGTGGACTTCCAGTATGGCAGAAAGCACAGTCTAGAAGGAACGCTGCCGAAGAAAATGGTAGCTGAGCAAAGAATTAAGAGTGGACAGTAGGTGGATCTGTACTGGTAGATCTCAGGGTGATATGCAATACATTAGCATGGGTCTGTGAGTTGCAAGTGTTTAACAATAGCAACACCAAAATTGCTTCTTCCAGCCACCCAAAGGATCATGCTAAAATGATGAAGGCTGGGGTAATGTTTTTCCTGGTACCTGTTCTTTTCAGCAGGCCAAACCAAAAGCTCATAAAATGCAGTCCTTTCTTGGAGTTCAACAGGGCGTTTTCTGTGACAGCTGTGAACAAATTGCATAAAGCAAAGTAACGATCCCTCCAATCTTTGGGAGTAGCTGCAGTCCAAGTGAGGAGTTGATTCCAAACTGGAATGAGCCCCTCCTCCCTTCCGTTTCCCAGAGTCATGCCTCCACCCTCAGAATGGTTCTCGCTGCCTGCGGGCCAGATGGCGGGAACGCCTGAGGTTATGTAATTGGTCCTCCTGTTTGGCCTGGGACCACCTCACTGGGAAGAGAATGCATTCTCCTCCTGCGCCTTGTTCTACAGGGTCTCCCTCCTCCTCTTCCACCCCTTCTCCCACTCCCATGCTCAAGACAGTTCGGTTCTCAGTCATTGCCTGAGTAACCTCACTTGTTAATCTTGATTTTTTACAGTCACCTGCCAGAGTCCTCCCCTCTTACCTCATATATCTTACACTTCAAATCTGAATTGTCTGGCTGAATTGCGAGAAAGCTGTTTATACCACATAAACAAGAGCAGAATTCTGTAGAGAAGGACAACAAGCTCCATACATTTCTGGTAGTCAGAACAAATTTCTGGCTCTGAATTCTTTAATTCTAAGCATGTGTTGTTCATATCAGGCTCCAACTGAGGAACACAAAGTTGTTGTAACACAAAACAAAAAAGATGTCATCAGACCAGCCTGGAGTCTGCCCATTCCTGAGTTAAATGGTATCATTCCCTGATACCCCTCTTCAGGAAGTCATCACCATCACAAATTTGTTTTTAATGATATGAAGTGTAGAATTCATGGGTTTGTGTGTAACATCAAGTTTCTCAACTGAAGAATAAAGTTTCAGTAAGGACCCAATCCTGTGCATGCTTAGGCAGAAAAATGGCGCTCAGTACCCAGTATTCTCCAGGCAACCATGTTGTCTAGAGAATGCTCAGAGTCAATTTCTGTCTAAATATTTATAGTATTATACCATAACCTGGCAGACATCAGAAGTGTGTTCATAAAAGATGGTATCCCAGGAGTTACCCAACCGTAGGGATAATCTAACAAAAAATACAGCAGAATAACATCACTACAAGTCAATATTCACTACAGAAGAATATTCCATCTCCCTTCCAAAAAACCCTCCTCCCTCCCCTGGTACGATTTCTTTTTTTGCACCAGGGTGAGGGGTGTGGGTCTTACACGTGAGGACGGAATGCATGCGTGCATTCA